TGCTGTGGTGTGATTTCAGCTCACTGCAGCCTCCACCTCCTGGGCTCAAGTGAGCCTCCTGGGTAGCTGAGACTACAGGTGCTCACCCAAACCTGGCTAATTTTTGTATTTTTCGTAAAGACGGTAGTTTCACCATGTTGCCCAGGCTGGTCTCAAACTCCTGGACATAAGCAATCCGACTGCCTTGGCCTCCCAAAGTGCTGGGATTACAGGCGTGAGCCAACGTGACTGACTGACCAAGATTTTTAAAGGCAAAACAAGGAGGCTTACATAATTGTTTTGAGATATTAATAATTATCCTTTGCTACAAGAATCAATAAAGGCAATGCCAGTTAGAGGTTTCACAGACAGTTGCTGGGTAGATGTCCTTGTAGATGTATTTTTTGTGTAAGGTTCTGACAGCCTTTGTGCGAGTTCGCAGATTTTGCATTCTTTTTGTTTGTTTGTTTAATTTCAACCTTTGTTTCAGATTCAGGGGGTACACGGACAGGTTTGCTACACTGGTATACTGTGTGATGCTGAGGTTTGGGGTACGAATGTTGCCATCACCAGGTAGTGAGCACAGTACCCAGTAAGTAGCTTTTCAGCCCTTCCCTCCTCTTTCTTTCCCCTCAGATAGGCCCAGTGTCTATTGTTCCCATTGTTATGTCTATTTGTACCCAGTGCTTGACTCTCACTTATAAGTGAGAACATGCAAAGATAAAGAAAAAATATGGCTGCAATACAGTGGGCAAAATTCATTTGCAAGCAGATCAAAAATCCATTTGATTATAGCCTAATCTAAATAGATTTATCATTTTATTTAATAATTTAATGAGGGGGAAGAAAATATTTCAAAAACATTGAACTGTTTATTTCTCATAGAATTAAAAAAAAATTTTTTAATTTCCAGTCAGGTGTGGTGGCTCACACCTGTAATCCCAGCACTTTGGGAGACTGAGGTGGCCGTATCACCTGAGGCCAAGAGTTCAAGACTAGCCTGGCCAACATGACGAAACCCCATCTCTACTAAAAATAAAAAAAAGGCCCTGTAATTTCAGATACTCGGGAGGCTGAGGCAGGAGAATCGCTTGAACCTGGGGGGCAGAGGTTGCCATGAGTTGAGATTGCACCATTGCACTCCAGCCTGAGCAAGAAGAGCAAAATTGTCTCAAAAAAAAAAAAAAATTATTTCCATAGGTTCTTGGGTAACAGGTGGTGTTCGGTTACATGAGTAAGTTACTTAGCGGTGACTCGTGAGATTTTGGTGCACCCATCACCCAAGCAGTATATACTGAACCCCAATTTGTAGTTTTTTATTCCTTACCCTCTCCTTCAAGTCCCCATTTTGCATTCTTTTGTGATAGCTTTTGTTATCAGGTATTTATGCATGAGAACCTCTTTCTTCATAGCCCTCCCTGGCTCTGTTTGTCAGGTTCTTTTTTTTTTTTTTTTTAAGACAGATCCTTGCTCTGTCGCCCATGTTGGACTGAAGTGGCTCGATCTTGGCTGACTGCAGTCTCCGTCTTCCAGGTTCTGATTCTCCTGCCTCAGCCTCTTGAATAGCTGGGATCATAGGCGAGTGCCACTGTGCTTGTCTAATTTTTTGTATTTTTAGTAGAGATAGGGTTTCACCATGTTGGCCAGGCTGGTCTTGAACTCCTGACCTCAAGTGATCCACCCACTTCAGCTTCCAAATTGCTGGAATTGCCTGGTCTTGTTTTTCCTTTTTTTAACATGAGTGTCTCCATTTGGATTCTGACAACTTTCACATATTGTTATTTAATAAATCTTATTTTTTTCATATAGGTTATGTACCTTTCTTGTCCATTTTTGTTTTTGTTCTTTTTACTGTCATCAGTGGGTTTCCCTCTTATTTACATTTCTAGCTAGATTTCTAGTTATAGACTGAAATAAACGGATTTTGTAATCTCACTACCAGATTGACTTCTTAGTTCAATACTTGTCTAGTTTCATCTTACAGATTTCCTAGAAACGCAATTATATTAGCTGCAAATGAAGATAAGTTTCTCATCTATGTATACAGGTTGTTCCTTGTTCTTGGTTTATTATACTAGCTATATTCTTCAAAAACAATATCCAATATTATTAGTGATAATATATGTACTGTCTTGTTTTCTAATTTAATGACAGTGGCTGCAATGTTTCATATTTGATATGCTTTTTTTTTTGAGACAGAGTCTCATTCTGTCGCCAGGCGCCAGGCTGGAGTGCAATGGCACAATCTCGGCTCACTGCAACCTCCGCCTCCCGGGTTCAAGCAATTCTTCTGCCTCAGCCTCCCGAGTAGCTGGGACTAAAGGTACATGCCACCACACCCAGCTAATATTTGTATTTTTAGTAGAGACAGGGTTTCACCATCTTGGCCAGGATGGTCTCAATCTCTTGACTTCGTGATCCACCCACCTCGGCCTCCCAAAGTCCTGGGATCACAGGCTTGAGCCACCACGCCCGGCCTAATATGCTTTTTAAATGATTTTTGAAAAACAGTCTTCGTTATGTTTATTTCCATTTCTATTTTACCTAGAATTTTTTTTAATACAAAAACCTAGTGTCTATATCTAAGGATTCCTAGAATGTTTTGTAGAATAGCTACTAAGAAACAATGCTTTTTGTTCATATCTCTTGATAGAATTATGTTTTTCCCATGTTAATATAATGCATTCTGTTAATAGGTTTCCTGATACTGAACTATTCTTTCATTCCCAGAATAAATTCTTCATGGTCATAATTTATTATTTTACTAACTCACTGTGGAATTCTCTTGTGCAAATATTTTATTTAGATGTTTTGTATGTGTACTTATAAATTGGGTTATAATCTTGGTGGTTTCTTTTTTTCATGGTCAACACTGAAAAAGGCTTTAAATTATTCTCAGAGTGCTCACATGCCTGGTCAAAATTATTGCTATCATTAACAATGCACGGACGATTATGAACAATTTATTTCAAAGTAATAATTAGATAGAATTCAAAGTTTCCCATATAACAATGTCATTTCCCTTTACCTGAATCATTATTCTGGATTTTATTTAATGGTTTACTGCAGAGGAAAGAAAGGGGTTTGTGGCTTACTTTGTTGGGGATTGTGGAAAATGGGCACAGTCCTAGAAAAACCCATGTTAAGTGTGGCAATGCTTGTGAAAATGCTTAATGCAAAGGTTGCAAAATGTTAATATTAAAATAATTGGGTAAACTGAGCTAGCAAAATGCAGGTGGCTGATAAATTTTAGAACAACAGTGTAATTAATTGAGAAGCTTTGAGTTATGCTCTATCTCATAAGTAGCATAATGTTTCATTTGACTCTCTCTCTCTTTTTTTTAAATGAGACAGTCTCCCTGTGTTGCCCAGGCTGGAGTGCAATGGCATGATCTTGGCTCACTGCAACCTCTGCCTCCCAGGTTCAAGCAATTCTCACGAACCAGCCTCCTGAGTAGCCAAGATTACAGGTGGGTACCACCATGCCCAGCTCATTTTTGTATTTTTAGTAGAGGCAGTGTTTAGCTGTGTTGGTCAGGCTGGTCTTGAACTCCACTATCTGTCCACCTTGGCCTCCCAAAGTGCTGGGATTACAGGTGGGAACCACACACCCTATCTCATTTGACTCTCCTAACAGCCTGGGAAGTTTAAGCAGAGAACCCAGCTGCAACTATCTAGTGAATAATGGACAGTTTAGCATCTTAACTAACAAGGAATCTTTTTTTTTTGAGATAGAGTCTTGCTCTTGTTGCCCAGTCTGGAATGCAATAGCGCGATCTCAACTCACTGCAACCTCTGCCTCTTGAGTTCAAGTGATTCTCCTGCATCAGCCTCCTGAGTAGCTGGGATTGCAGACAACTGCCATCATGCCTGACTAATTTTTGTATTTTTAGTAGAGACGGGGTTTTATTATGTTGGCCAGGCTGGTCTTGAACTCCTGTCCTCAGCTGATCCACCTGTCTCAGCCTCCCAAAGCGCTGGGATTACAGGCATGAGCCGCTGCACCCAACCAATAAGGAATCTTGATCTTAAGATATTCCCAACTTTATTACTGAGTTGTGACTAAGTTTCCTCTCCCACCTTCCCCCAGAAGAAAAGTTATATATAATCCATTAGCTTTTATATTTAAATGAAGTCAGATTAATTTTTTTAAAGATGTGGAAGACATCCCTCCAACAAATGGAAGCACTCTGGGTTTTGGTAAAGTTGGTGTTAATCATACCTTTAGCCCCTTAACAAGGGGAAGAAATGACCTGTGAGCATTGTTTTTTGTTTGTTTTTTGCCATCAGTAACCCCCAGGGGAAAATGATAAATATATGTTTTTCCACGATCAGTTCAGGATACCAGGTTATTAATGGTGTACCTAAATTGACATACCAACAAACTAATGAGTTATTAATAGTGTACCTATTAATAGGTAAACAGAGGTAAAGCTGTATACGAACAAAACAAAGTAGTGTCTGTTTAGAGAGGTGAATGGGATTGGTGCTAATTTCTAAAGTGTACTCCCTTAGGCAAGGACTGAAAACAGATACTAAATTCCTTAATATTTTAGTTGCGTATCAACTTATAGCTTACAAAGTTTTTCATACACAGAATCTCATTTGATTATTACAAAGTCCCTAGGAATTAAGCAGGGCAGGTATCATTTACGTTGTTTACAAGTACATAAATAAGCCTACCAAAGTCACACAACTGGCCTGCGGATCACACAGCTAGTGAGTGGCTGGGATGTTTTAAGATTCAGGTCTTGGTGAAGAGGAATTCTGTGTCTTAACTCACGTAAAAGCAGAGACTGACAGAGTTTATAACGTAGTATAATCTCACTGCATATTTGTTGAATGTATGAATGCGTCTTGTGAACCTATTTCAGAGTTCCTTCTAGTACACTATATAAGCCCACCCCCAAAAAACACACTCAACAACTGAAACCAAGTATGGCAAGTATGGAAGGTTGGGGATGGGTGGGGGGCAGGAATTTTTCCCAGGAGAACTAGGAAATTTTTGACGAGGCAGCAGCTTCTGGAAATGTCAGTGTTTATTAAACATTTAAGGACATTTGGAGGTTTGAGAAGAAATATACAGAATGTAGAAAAATCCTAAGAATCCCCTGTGGCTGGAGTGCAGCCTCTTCCCCCCCGCCCCCATTTCCCATTTGTTTTTCCTGCTTTCTGGTTGTTTAAAAACCATTTCTTAAGGCTCATTTGCCCCTCCTCCACTCCCTGACCTATGAGGATCCATTCTCTCTCCCTCTCTCTCAAGACCTGGAGTCCCAGAACAGTGCTCCAAAGTGGTGGTGGTGGTGGGGGGGGGCACCAATGCTATACCGAAGTGTGAGGATCGGGGCCCCTCTCCTTGGGCTGGCTCTTCATTAAGGACTTGGGGGGGGGTGAAGAATTGCAAAAGCCACATGACGTCATTAGTCCTCAGTCATGGGTGTAAGGGCAGAGGATGGGCACAGATAAACAAAGAATGGATTAAAAAATAAAAAATAATAACCTAAATAAACCCTGAAGGACAGTCTGATCTGGGTGCTCTGGGCATTAGCTGGGGGGGACAGAGTATGGAGTTGGGGCCACCTGGTAGAGGGGAGGGAGGGGATGGGAGAGGAAACAACCGAGGGGTTTGGCTGGGGAATGCAGGGGTGGGAATGCCAGGTGGCCTGGATGTGAGGCAGAAGGTATCAAGGTCCCTTTCTTCTCAGTGCCCAGGCAGACAGGCACCAAACACACAGTCCTTGGGGCAGGTGAGGGGTAGGATTAGCTCCTGGGCTCCCAGAAAGCCAGGGGTGAAGGTGGGGAAAATACAATTGCCTAGGGAATGAATTCTGGAATGAAACTTACATCTCAAAGGGAGGTGCGGGCTGCGGGTAGGGCAGGGCGGGGGAGCAAGGAAGGGAAGCACCTAGACGGGGATAAGAGGAGCCTAGGTCCCCCTGCTCTGGTAGGGCCTAGGGTTGGGGGCGGCCATCACTTGTCCGAGTCCAGGCCCATCATGTTCTTGAGGGCGTTTTTGAAGCTGGTTCTGCTGGGGGACTTGACAGCAGGCCGGAGCTCCGAGCTCTGCTCATCCTTTCGTAGCTCCATCTCGATGACCACCACCTTTGGGCGTTTGGCGGACTCCACCCCTAACCCCCGACCCCCCGCCCGGCCCGCTAACCGCTATTTCTTATCCTTGCGAGACTCCCCCAGCCCCTTGGGTTTCTTCTCACTGGCAGCTTTGGTGCTTCTGCTGTGGTCCAGCATGGCATACAGCACTGGCGTCTGGGAGAGAGGCGCACACATCAGTCACCGCGCGACTGGGGCTTGACGGTTCCCATCCCACCACTCACTGCTGCCCGGCGGCTCCCAGGGTTTTCCTTCCCATCTTGCACAGGCCCCAAGTCCAACTAACCTGACGCCCGCGCTTCGACGAGTCCTTTCCAGGCTTGTGCAATTTCCCCTTCTCCATGGCACTGCAGGAAGAGAGGGTGCTGTGCATTTGGCCTTGCCGGAACCCCTAGCTCCGCGGACACAGCTTCCTCTTCACTTTGGCCCTTCCACCCACTGGAGTAGTCTCCGCCCAGGTGGGGGAACGGGGGATAGTGGGGAGAGGGGCAGGGGAGCCAGGTTCCCCCACTTACCTGAGCCTCCTCTGCAGGGCCGCTTGCCGGCGAAGCCAGCAGTACCGAATCAGGTAGAAAAGCAGCAGCAGCAACAGCACCACCCCGAGGACACCCCCGATCACAGCTCCCAGAATCACCCCGTACCTAGTTGGCACTAGGAGGGGTGGGAAAAGAAGTGGGAGAATGAGCAGGGCCCTGTATCTGTGGTTCCTAGTCCGCGTCTGTGCCCTGCATTGAGGATGTAGGACTCCCAGATAAAACTGCCTTCTGCCCACCCTCCTAGAGCCTGAAGGTCCTTAGGCGGGGCTTTTTGCCCCTTGCCCTAGCCAGTCAGTCCTCCCTGATCCCCTCCCAAACTGCCTCCCAGATCCTTGTCCCCATCTCCTCTCACACCTTTTTCAAAGACATACAGCGTGACCTGAGAGGTCTTGCCCACTATGTCTGGAGGGTTTTTGACGTCACAAGTGAAGGTGCCATTGTCGCTGTAGTCTAGGTTGTGTATGACAATGGAGCCATCCTTCCAGCGAGGGTCCCCTACCCACTGGATGCGCTCTTTGAAGGTCCCCACCTCGTCGATGTAGGGTTGTCCCTTGGCATAGTGGAAGATCTGTGAGGAATGAGGGGAAGCATGTGAGAGACACATGCTTCCCCTCATGTGAACACAGCTGTCAAAACTTAGCTTCATAATTTGTTATAGAAAGAAAGCAAAAAAAAACAAAACAAAACAAAACAAAACCAAAAAAAACGCTTAGCTCCAGCATCAGGGTGAGGGATCTTGGGCTGGAAAAGCTAGTGCTGCGGAAGGGAGGACTATGTAGACTGGACATAGTCAGGGTGATAAAGATTGCCATTTGCCTTACCAAAGGTGGGGTTATGGTTCATAAAGGATTTCCCTCTCCTTAGTCCAAGTTCTCTTTTTTGTTGTTCTTTGAAGCACTTTCTGTTCTCCAACCCCAGGATTCCTCCAGGCACTCACCGAAATAGCATCTCTGCCCCCTTCGGGCTGGTAGCGCCAAGTGAAGGAGATGTCATCTGAGACCCACTCACTGGACCAAAAGGAGCAGTGCAGGGTCACCCGGGAGCCCACAGCACCATGGACCTCCCTGTCGGTGTAAACCACGATGGCCTGGGCTGGGGACAGCACTGCAAACACAAATCGGGGAATCAGATGCACATATGGGCCCAGTGAGGTAGCGAGATCAGTAGGAAATCAAAGGCTGAGACACAGGTCAGAGGCCAATTTGGAAAAGAAACAACAAATTCTGAGCCCCAAGTCTCTAGGGACTAACTGAACAGATGAGCATAAATGCCGTGTCTGTCAAGCTCGTCAGCAAGTCTGTGCAGATGAAATCAGCACTAACAGAATTCTCCTGTGGACTTCCAGAGATTGGGTTTTGTCTTTTAAGTCTTACGTTCCCTTTGGATCAGTATCTAATTCTTAAGCTATCCTTTAGATGTAGTGTTTTAAATTTTTTAAATTTATTATAAATTATACAGGTAATACATATTGTGTTCTTATAAACTGTTCAAACAACAGAAATAAAACAAAAGTCTCCTTGGACACTCAGCCCAACAAATTCCTTTCCTCTAGTCCCTTCCAAGATGTAACCAGTTATCCATTTAATACGAGTCAAACTCCGTAAAAACTCAATAAACTGGAGATATACATGTACTTACAACAAATAGTTTTTTTTAAAAACATACATATTGCATTGTATTCTAGTGTTTTCTTTTTTGCATAAGAATATATGTATCTGGAGGAGCTTTCCCTGTAGATTCATAGATATCAATCTTATTTTAACAGCTGCATTGTATTTCACAATGCAGCAAACTGAAATTTCTTGCAGAAAAAAAAATGAAGATAACTAGAGAATGTAAGTCTTCTTCCTAGCACAACTGTCCTCATTGCTGAATCCCTGGTTGCTCTTGGCAGGGGAGTCAGAAAGGGAAGGACCTCATATCCCTCTCAGCTAGGTGCAGAGCAAGACCCCAAGCCTAGAGCTCAGATGACTCTACATGTGAGCCCTCTATAGTTCAACCGTCCTCACCCTCTTGGCCATTCCGGTCCAGTGCCACCCCCAAGACTTACCCACACAAGGAAGGCCATTCCAGAGAGACTATGTGTGTGGGCTGGCCCCAGGGATGGGCAACTGTAGACCTTTTTGTTCTACAGGAGGGGGAGGTGAAAATCAAACAAAGTCCCATTGTTCCAAGAAGGTTGGGGGGCTCATGCCACCCCTACTCCCACCCCCATTGTCCTGAATCTCTCACCTCAGCATGCAATGCTATTTACTTACCTCCTGGAACTTCCACCTGAGAACCTTCTTGGGAATCCCCCTTGTGTAACAAGGGAGGTTATTCATTGGCTCTAACTTCTATTCTTCCTGTTATAATGTCAACCTTTGCCCTTCTCGGCTCTGCTAAATGGTTCTATGAGTGGAACAGGTGTTGAGATAGAACTCTCCCTCTCCCTTATACAACAAGATTCCTTCCCTCTACTTCTCTCACTGTGCCCTTCTCCAACTCTCTCTAATATTTTCATAGGGTACCTCCAAGTAGCCCAGTATAACCCAGAAGAGTCTAGAGCTCAAGCAGCTGACAGCAGAGAACCATGGGCATTCTGGCCAGCCCCCTTTCCCTTGCCGCCCCCCTCCCTCCCACCACTTGCCTACGGCTCATTTGTTGCACTAGGAGTCAGGGCAGTTCAGAGAAGGAAAGGAGCCATTCCAATAATACCGATTTGACCTCTTGCTCACCCAAAATCTGCCATGGGGCAAGGAAAGGGCTTGTTAACTTATGAAGGAAGACAGCTTTAGAGGGACAAGATCACAGAATCTCATAGAACCTTCCTCCATTCACCCACACAACAGGTGAGGAACCACAAAGAGACAAAAAATCTGAGGAGCTGAGACCACAAACCTGGGCTCCCTATTTAGACCACACTCTCTTTTTCCTTCTGGAAAACTAAGGTTAGGCACTTCCTGCACTACCAGAAGATGAGTGGGAACCAAACCCGGGGTTTGTGTCTGTTCCTTTCCAAGATCTAACACTGCTTCCCACTGGCTCTTAGCATGGCTCTGGGGGCAGGCTGCTGGTTTCCAGCCTGGGCCAGCCACACCCACTCTCTTTTACCCTTGCTACCATCTCTTTTACCCTTTCTTTTCAGAGAATACCTCTAGTGCCTCCCTCTAAATGCATATTTTTTCTTGTTTTCATACATAACTCTACATAAAACTTTATATCTATATAATTATTTTTTATTTTATAGATGGAGTCTCACTATGCTGTCCAGGCTGGTCTCGAACTACTGTGCTCAAATAATTCTCCTGCCTTGGACTCCCAGAATGCTGGGATTGCAGGTGTGAGCCACCACCTCACCTGGCCACGTATTTTTTTCTCTCTGTATATAATGTCACCTTCCTGCTCCCGCTTGCTCTTTATTTGGTTGCAGTGGGGAGAGCAGCAAAGGCAGTGGGGGCTGCTGAGTCCCCACACCTGAGTCCTGAGGCTCCCAGACTAGGGTGGCTCCACTTACCCAAAGAAGAGAAGAGCAGCACAGCCAGGATAGGGCTGGGGCTGGATGAGGGAGCCCCAGGAGCCATAGCTGGGGCAGGGCCAGGGGCCCGGAGCGTCTGTGGGGTTGAGAAAGTGGGGAACCAGGAACTGAGCGGGGGTTCCTGGAACCCGCTTAAAATCCCCTGGGGCCCCAGCATGAGGAGGCTGTCCTCAGCCAGTAACCAATTGCAGCCTGGCATGTGCAGTTGAGAGGTGGTGGGGAGGGGGCAGAGTGCAGGGAGCAGAAGGGGCATTGTATAGTCTGGGTGGAGGGGTGGGGGACACATACCACCCCATACACAGAGGGCTTTGTGTTTACTGGCCTCTCCCTGTCCCAGGCTGGAATGTTGTGGGGGGCTGGCTGGTGAGGGAGTGGGACAAAAACAGGGACACAGACAGACTTCTCTGAGGGACAGATAGGGAACCTCAATTTAAAGGCCATCAAAAGGGATCCCTCCTTAGCCTCCTTGCCTGAGGGGCTGCTTCAGAGCCCTAGGAACTAGAGGTGGGTGTCCCCCAGAGAACGCTGAAAATAGGATATCCCTTATCTCCACTAATGTGGGCTCCATTATGGACTTCTTGAGATGACCAAGACCTATAGGAGTTTTTTTCCTCTCACTTCCCTGCATCCTGCATGATTCTTCCCAGATAGAAGTTTTTCTCCACCTGATTATTTCCCGCCAAGAAGCCTCTGACCTTTCCCCCTTTGTCAAGGAGTCCTTCAGTGCCTGATGCTGCTATTTAAGTCAATTTCAATTTATATCAAGGCTACACAATTGTACTGAGTGCCAGCAATATGTAAAGTATGAGAATGCAGGTAACAGAGAGAGGAATAAAAATTAAGTCCTTCCTTCAAGGAGTGGAAAATTAGGTTTGGGGAGGTGGAAGTGGGAGGATCAGAGGACAAACCCATCAACAACCAACTATAATAAGCTCGATGCTTCCTTTAGTAACGAACAAAGCTCTGGGAGTACAAAAGAGGGCACACACAGCTGCAACATCAGGGAGACTGAGTAAGTTACATGAGAAATTAAAGACAAAATAAACTTTATTCAATAAATGAAGTTTATGTCAGGCACAGTGGCTGACACCTGCAATCTCAGCACTTTGGAAGGCTCAGGCAGGAGGATCACTTGAGTTTAGGAATTTCAGACCCACCTGGGCAACATAGTGAGACCTTGTCTCTACTAAAAATTTTTAAAAAATCAGCTGGGCATGTTGTCGCATGCTTGTTGTCCCAGCTAATTGGGAGGCTGAGGCAGGAGGATCACTTAAACCTGGGAAAACAAGGCTGCAGTGAGCTATGACTGAGCCACTGCATTCCACCCTGGGCTACAGAAGGAGACTCTGTCTCAAAAATAAATAAATAAACAAATAAATAGTTCAGAGGGAAGAACAGTTGTGTCTAGGAGGTGATGTTAAATATGAACCAACCTTGAAGGATGACTGCCATTTTGGAAAGGGAGGAAGGAAGGGTTGCCAGAAGATAGAACAGCAAAAGCAAGGACAAAGAGGTGAGAGAACGTGTGTTTGTGTGTGTGTGTGTTAATGTAGGTTTGTGATGTGCTGGATATATTCAGGGCAGCTCTTGTGCCATTAATTTTGACTTGATTTGGGGAGACTTGAAGTGGCATAGTCAAAAACAAGACCAGACAGAAAAGTCAAAGCTAGTCTGTGAAAGGCCTTAAACGACAGGTGAAAGAGGGTGAATTCAATTTGGTGCATCATGAGAATCTGAAGGTGTTGGTGTTAGGGTGGAGTTAGCAATGGAAATGCCTACATAACCAGAGCTGAGGTTTTTTTTGTTTTTTTTTTTGAGGCAGTCTCGCTCTGTTGCCCAGCCTGGAATGCAGTGGCATAATGGCTCACTGCAGCCTTGACCTCTGAGGCTCAAGCAATCCTCATATCTCAGCTTTCCAAGTAGCTGGGGACCACTACAGGAGCATGCCACCATGTCCAGCTAGTTAAAAAAAAAATTTTTTTTTCAGACACAAGGTCTTGCTCTGTGGCCCAGGCTGTAGTGCCGTGGTGTGATCATTGCTCACTGCAGCCTCAATCTGTCAGGCTCAAGCAATCTTCCTGTTTCAGCCTCTAGATTAGCTGTAATTTTAGTGGAGACGGAGTTTCACTATGTTGGCCAGGCTGGTTTCAAACTCCTGACCTCAAGTGATCTGCCCACCTCGGCTTCCCAAAGTGCTGGGATTATAAGTGCTGGGCAGGCCCCTCCACACCCAGCTAATTTTTCAATTTTTTTTTGGAGATGGGGTTCTCACTATGTTGCTCAGGCTGGTCTTGAACTCCTGTACTCAAATGATCCTCCTGCCTTGGCTTCCCTAAGTACTGGGATTACAGGTGTGAGTCACTGTGCCTGACCTCTAGAGGTTAATTTGAGTGGGATAGTCATTGTTATTCTCGATATGAGACCACTGCAGATCAGCCCATGTAAAGGAACGGTGTCCTGGTACCTTCCTGGGATCTCATTAGGCCACAGTCCTGGTGGGTTTGGTCATTAGTATTAGATTTGGGTTGTGGAATTCTAAATATGGGATTGCTTATGAAGTCCACAGGCAAAATTATCATCATTGACAAATGTTTACAGGACATTGTAGTCAACATTTCTATAAAATAGCAATTCAAAGTACTGTAAACAACAACAAAAAACCCAAAAATCTCCCCCTCCAAAATTTTCACCTAACTCCACCTCCCAACTGTAAGTAATCATTTTCTCCTTATCTAACTGTAAGGTTGACCAAAAGGTTGGAGAGGCAGACGCAGGGTCAGGTTTAGCAAGTTTATTTCAACCTGCCAGGCTGCTGCCTTACCACAGGCAGTGAAGCAGCAGTCCAGCTTACAGACTATGTGGGTTATATAGCCGGTTTGCAGATAGCGGGGTGCTATTCTAAGAAAAACTGCATCTTGGTTCTCAGGGGCTGACATTCTGCTTAAATGAGTTAACGTCCTGGGTTTGAGAGCTGGTGCCACCACATCCTGGCACCCAGGTGCCCTGTTTACAAGGCTTGAGGCTGTTTTTGTTATGAGCTTGGCTTAGCGTGGGAGAACAGGGAGGGGGTCTATGGGCTTGCCTTGCTGTGACCCTAACACTAACCACCCCTTTTATCTACACGCTTTTCAAGCAGCTGTTGCTACTTTATTGCATTTCTTTATTAATCCTGCTAAGGCTATAGCCTTCTTGGGGACAATATAAACGTCTGCAGCTTTGAACCCCCTACAGAACTTTTCACAGACTGAAGAAAAGTCCATACCTACATGCTAAATGAAATGATTAATATTTAAACAGCCTATTGGGCTGGGAGTGGTGGCTCACACTTATAATCCCAGCACTTTGGGAGGCCGAGGTGGGCAGATCACTTGAGGTCAGGAGTTTGAGACCAGCCTGGCCAACAGGGTGAAACTCTGTCTCCACTAAAATTAGAGAAAATCAGCCTGGCACGGTGGTACTTGGGAGGGTGAGGCAGGAGAATCGTTTGAACCTGGGAGGCAGAGGTTGCAGTGAGCCGAGATCATGCCATTGCACTCCAGCCTGATTGACAGTGTAAGACACTGTCTCAAAAAAAAAAAAAAAAAAAAAAAGAGCTGAGTGAAAGAGGCATCCCCTGGGTTAATGTGAAGCTCCAGAGAGCTAAGGTAGGATCAATGACTGGAAGTTCGACAGCACAAAGCTGTATTTAAATGTCTTTCTAATGAATAAGTTGTTCACTAAATAAAACTTGTTTTTTGAGGTACCCATCATTAAATGTGTGGGAGCAGAGTCTTGAAGATCGGCTGTCAGGGGTGTTGTAGAGGAGATCCTAGCTTGGATTAGAGAGGCTTTTCCAATCCTAAAGCGTATGAATGTGCTTTCTTTGTCAAGCATTATATAAATGCAAAATAGTACTATTCATTTGATGCAGAAATAAATGAATTTGTGCTATTTAAATCCTGAAGTGCAGGGATGCCAAATATACATAAGATCTGAATATTAATATAATTTTTTTTGTAGTAATAAAACTAAAAATTTTTGCTCTGGGCTGTCCTTTTTTACTCCTCTTCACCCTACTCCCTACAAAACACTCAAGAATTTTGCACTCTGTTCCCTTCCTTTCTCACTTGTTCGTCTTCTTTCTTCAGTCTTGAGTGGTCGTCAGTTGATTCCTGTGCTTGGGGCTTGGGTTCCTATATATACATAAATCAATGCGTGTTCTCCCCCCAGGTTCTTCTAACTGTGGGTGTCACCCACATAGCGCTGAAACAAGGAACAAGAGAGCATTGTCCTCTGCTAGTGGGCGCCTGGTTCATGTGGCAACTCAAACCCAGGAATTGTGGGGTCTGATCCAGATGGTTAGACGAGGCTCCTCGTTCATGGGAATGGTGGTCCGCAAGGTCCTCTCGAGACCCCTTTACACACTCCCCAACTTAGATCACAATTTATGTATCTCTCTGGTTAAAGCTTCACATTAGAAAAGGAGGGAGCCCGAAGTATCTTTTTCCTTGGGTGTCTGAACCGGCCAGCCACGTTTTTAGGCCGACTTAGGAGGGAGAGGGAGTACAGCAGACAGCTAAGCCCTCAAGGAAGACTAAACGAGTCCGCCGTTCTGTTCGGGAGTGGGATACAAATTGAATATGCACGCAGGTGGAACATAGACTGCAGATTTTGAGCCAGCGGCGTTTCTGCCGAAATCCTGGCAAATTCCGGTAGAAGTGAGCGGAAGGAGGCGGGGGAGGAGACCAAAGAACCAGAAAACAGCAAACCATCTGGGGAGAGACGAGCGGAGAAGCTCCGCAGCCCTCCAAAGAGACTCTAGTCACGGGACATCCCCACCCCGCCCGCGCGCCTCCACCCTTAGGTGGCGGGGCCGTCTGGCGTCACTTCCGTCCAGACCGGAACCCGAGATGGCGGCGTTCTTGCTGAGGTGACTTTCGTGTGGGGCTGGGAGTTGGTGGCTGCGGCCCTCCGGAGACCTGAACTGGTCTCTCACGTTTTGCTGACAAGTGTTTACCCTGTGCCTGAGCGGGGAGAGGACTCATGGGTGTGGAGGCCAAACCCTCGGGAATCCTAGAGACCCCTTTTCCAGTCCCCCGCCAGCAGCTCCGGTGCGCTCCGTAGGGCTTCGGGGTCACTGACTCCCTATCGTGGGGCGCGCGGCTCTCGCCCCTT